ACACTCAGGGCAGGGCCGATGGGGACGTTATGGCTCTACCCTGTCACACACAGAGCAGGGCGCGTGGGGGGGGGGAGGGGGTTGGGGCGCCGCACCCTGTCACACACAGAGCAGGGCCGATCAGGGGGTTGGGGCGCCGCACCCTATCACACACAGAGCAGGGCCGATCAGGGGTTTAGGGCACCGAACCCTGTCACACACAGAGCCGCAGGCAATCAGGGGGTTGGGGCGCCTTCCCCTGTCACGAACAGAGCAGGGCGGATAGAGAGGTTGTGGCCCCATCGCCTGTCACACACAGAGCCGCAGGGCAATCAGGGGGTTTGGACGCTGCCCTCTGTCACGCTGATCCCGGTGCGGGAGGCCTCTCGGCTCCACTGATCCTGGTGCTGGGAGGCATATTACCCTTTTACTATATAGGATAGAGGCCTGGTTCACGGGTGAGGCTGGCTGGTTTGCCCTGAAGGGTGTCCTGGATCAGGGTGGGGTTCCCCTCTGGGGGTCCTGGCCAGTCTGGGTGAGGGGCTGAAGGCTCTTTTCAGGCTGGGGGGTGACGGAAGCTCCCAACCGCTCCTTTTTTTCTTTTTTTTTTATATTCTGGGCCAGCTTTAGCTCTGAGGCTCCAGCTCTTAGGCCTCCGCTGCTAAAAGTAGGTAATCGAAACAATGTATAACTCCATCTCTGACTCCAGCTCTGAGATTCCAGCTTGCTGAAAGCTGGTTTCTGGGTTTTTTTTTAGCTTCTATATTTGTTGAAATGTTTCAAACTGCAGGCTCAGAGGCCGGCAAGGCAGGCGGGGAACGTTAGAATCCTCCGTCACTGAAGCAAGCAAGCCTCATGTTAGTTTCAAGTTGCCTGGCTGCCAGCCGCCATCTTGGCTGACAGTTAATTTGCATATCTCCCTGATTAGCCAATGGGAAGGGTAGCGGTCGTACGCCAATTACCATGTTTCTCTTTTATTAGATTAGACTAGAGGCCTGGTGCATGAAATTCATGCACGGGGGTGTGTGTCCCTCAGCCCAGCCTGCACCCTTTCCAATCTGTGACATCCCTCTCACAATCCAGAACTACTGGTTCCCAAATGCTCACCTGCCTGCCTGCCTGATTGCCCCTAACCACTTCTGCCTGCCAGCCTGGTCACCCCCTAACCACTCCCCTGCCAGTCTGATCGATGCCTAACTGCTCCCCTGCTGGCCCAATTGACCCTAACTGCCCTCTTCTGCCTGCCTGGTCACCCCTAACTGCCCTTCCCTGCAGGCCTGGTCCCCCCCAACTACCCTTCCCTGCCAGCCTTGTCCTTCCCAACTGCCCTGCCCTGCAGGTCTGCCCCCCCCAACTGCCCCAGGCCTGGTCACCCCTAACTTCCCTCCCCTGCAGGCCTAGTCGCCCCTAACTGCTCTCCCTTGCAGGCCTGGTCCCTCCCAACTGCCCTCCCCTGCTGGCCATCTTTGACCACATGGGGGTGGCCATCTTGTATGTTGGAGTGATGGTCAATTTGCATATTACCTCTTTATTCGACAGGATATTATTTAAAATGTTATTTGATTAAGTATTAATAAGCAGGGGGGCAAATGTAGATTTACAGTTGTGAGTATGCTAAACACTAAGTTTATTCTTGTATTTTTATAATTATTGTACTATTTTTTTCATATAAACAACTGAACGTACTTTTTCCAACCCTTGTACTTAAGGTCTTACCCAGGCCTTACCCAGGCCAAGTGCTTAATAAGGTAGGGAACTGCTTGATATAGTAAATAACAGTCTTATAACATGGACGATTGACTTTCTTAGTTATAATAATAGAACATCTTTGACAGGAGAATGTAGATGATGGCATATGGGAGGTTAGAGAACAAGGAGGCTATCTAAACAAGATGATTGCAGCCTACCATATGTCTATTACTTGAAAAGCAACATACAACTCTTGATGCATTTCAGGATTAGAGTCTATGGCTGTGTGTCCAGACATTTACATTTGGGAGTATGCTACTATTTGCAAACTATGATTAGCCCTTTATATTTAAACTAGAGGCCCAGTGCATGAAATTCGTGCACTGTTAGGGTGCCTAGCGTCTGCAGGCTGCCAGCCAGCTACTCCCTCTCTTCCTCTGGCTGCCTGCTACCACCAGGACCTCCCTCCCTTTCCCCACCCGCCCCCTCCCCCACCCCCAGTCAAACTTTGGATAACTTTCGGTTGAAGGGACAATTTGCATAGAGTACTATGCTTTTATTATATAGGATACTTTGAGATATTTCTTGATTATTGCTTTTTAAAATAATTCTTATTTTTTACAGACAGCAAATTCCTCATGTGCTTTAGGACCTCAGTACTTAAATATGTGTCTTTCTATATTACTGTGATACATGATGTACCTGTCCATATTTAAATGCTTTGGGGTTCTTTAGTACTTTTTTGTTTTTTAATTCTCACCTGTGTACTGTGAATTACTCTTTTGCTGTAGGTACCTAGCACATTCAATGTGTAAGTTCCTTCTTGGATCTGATGAGATTACAAATGGTAATCAGCAACCTTTAAATGTTAAATATTTTCAGAAAAGAAAATGTTTATTTACTACCAAATTAAATTCCCTCTGTAAAAGTAAAATATTAAATTTTAATTAATATTGAATATAAATAAACACTACTGAGAAATAAATATTACTTCTGTGTATTGGGCAGAGATGTGCTAATATTAGGTGATTGGCTGGAAAATTTTAAGAACAAACTTTTAAAATCTCATATGTACATTATCATTGTCCTCAGATGTCATTATTTCTTCCAGCATCTCCTTTGGATTTATTTTGCAGTTGCTGGTAGTGGCCATTGGCACTTTATAAATTAAAAATATTCAAAACAATATGTTATGTAAAATGTTCATTTAAAAATACCAACAGGACTTTCTCTTGGTATGTCTTATTTTCCTTAGTAGCCTTACTTTCATCGCAGTCACAAGGAAATTGTTGGTACCTATCACTCTTCCTTGCTATATGGTGATATACCAAATTCTATCAAGCATCTATAGCAGTGATGGCGAACCTTTTGAGCTCGGCGTGTCAGCATTTTGAAAAACCCTAACTTAACTCTGGTGCAGTGTCACATATAGAAATTTTTTGATATTTGCAACCATAGTAAAACAAAGACTTATATTTTTGATATTTATTTTATATTTTTAAATGCCATTTAACAAAGAAAAATCAACCAAAAAAATGAGTTTGTGTGTCACATTTGACACGCGTGTCATATGTTCACCATCACTGATCTATACTAATAAAAGGGTAATAGGCTAATTAGACCAGATGTCTTCCTGACATCCTTCCAGACAAAGCCGCAGCAGCTTCAAGGTCCGAGGGCCAGTGGTGTGGGAGAGGTGACAGTGTGGGCCAGTCCAGCACCACGGCCCCTTCGGCAGAGGCAGCGGGAGAGTGGGCTGCACAGTCCCAGTCCCAGTGCTGACCCTTCTACAGAGGCAGCCACAAAGGCAGCCGCAGAGGCAGCGGCTCGGGCTTGGTCCTGGCGTCACACCTCCACAGAGGCTGGACAGGGTGCTACTTGCTGTGCCTCAACCTCCCACAGCCCCTCCCCCACCTGACCTGGTCCCAGATCGCCCCCCCACCCACCAGTGGATGGGGGGCGGGGCCGGTGCTAAGAAGCAAGGGCTGAGTGTCGGCAGCTGCGGCAGCCAGCATTGGCAGCAGCAGTGGGGTGATGTGGGTGGCACCTTCCCCTGCTCAGCCCTATTACATCCCGCAGAGGACGGCCATCAGTAGGACATCCCCTGAGGGCCCCCAAACTGTGAGAGAGGGAAGGCCGGGCTGAAGGATCCCCACCCCCAGTGCATGAATTTTCATGCACCGGGCCTCTAGTTGTTTTATAATATGCCTTATATCTTTCTCTTTTTTATACTTCAGCATTATTTCTCAAGGTCAGGTTTTTTGTCTTTTTGTTTGTTTTGATTGTTCTCTGGGGTATTTCAACAACTCTTAACTGTCTTTTTGCCTTCATTGCTACCAATCTTTAACACTACAGACCCTGAGTGTCTTTCTAATACACAGGTAGTCAAGGTACTGTTCCTTCTAAATCTCTCAGCTTATAGACTAAAATTCACACTCCTTAGCATGGTATTTAAAGCCCTTTTGTCTCAGGCTCCAAGACTACCTTTTATACTCACCTACCACATCAACTTTTTCCCTGATTATGAAATGTACTGTAAATGTGGTCTAATTTCTCTCTTCTTTTGCTTAGGTTGTTGCTTCAATCTGAATGCCTTTCTCCCATATTGACATATTTTTATTCTTTACAGCTCAAGTTAAATGCCACTGTTTTTGGGAAGAGACTTCTTAATATGTTCTAGTTAGAGTTAACATTTTGCTTCTAATTTTCTTTCAATAATGCATTTCTTGGACCTTTATGCAATACTTATTTCATTTTAACATAGTAATTTATGCTTAGATCCTCAGTCAGACATATCTGGATGTAAATACTGCCTCTGCTGCTTATTTCCTCTACATTCTTGGGCAATCAATTTAATTTCCTAAGCTTCTTTCTTATCTGTTAAATTGAGCTAATATTTGCACTTAATGTGTGGGTCTCTTTTTATGTTAAGTCTGATAACAGCACATCAGCATGATAAACGGTATCTATATATGTGTTCTAGGTACTTGGGCACTTGGCTTTCTCCCCCAGAGATAGTAAGCACTTCGAGGATGGGAATTTGTTTTACTTGTACCCAGTCTAGCCTGCTCTCTTGGTTTTGTTGGTCATGATTCATGGGACATTAACTATAACTTATTAGAATTAACATTAAGTTATTGTTATATTGTCTCATTACACAAAGGAATGGGGATGACTTATGAGATACATAAAGAACAAAAGAGTGAAACCAATAAAATAGTAATAAGTGCATTTTGAATAAAGAGTTTCATTTCACCAATGTCAACCTAGATCAAACAAAAGCTATCACTAAGAAAATGTCAAAGCTTGTCTTTATTCTGTCATGTTTTTAGGATCTCGTCTTCGTCAGGAAGACTTTCCCCCACGGATTGTGGAGCACCCTTCAGATGTCATTGTTTCTAAGGGAGAGCCCACCACATTGAACTGTAAGGCAGAGGGCCGGCCAACACCCACCATTGAGTGGTATAAAGATGGTGAGCGGGTGGAGACTGACAAGGATGATCCGCGCTCCCACAGGATGCTGCTGCCCAGCGGATCCTTGTTCTTCTTGCGCATTGTGCACGGTCGCAGAAGTAAGCCTGATGAAGGAAGCTACGTTTGCGTTGCAAGAAACTATCTTGGTGAAGCAGTGAGTCGGAATGCATCTCTGGAAGTGGCATGTAAGTGAACACAATGAACCTCATAAGTGGCATGCGCATTTACTTTGATTTATTTGTAGTAAGCTTTGTTCCCATGGATGCTTAATACCCAAAGAATAAAACAATTAAAATGCTCTGCATTATTTTACTTTGTCTTCTCTAGAGAAAGCTAGTCAAAATAATGCCAAGCCAGGGTGTTGCTGTAAATTTATTTAGATTACAGCACCATGATGATTGTTACTATATTACAGCAAGGAGGCGATGCTACTCATATTTAAAATTTGAGTTATTACCGAGAGATATAATCAAGTATTAAAGTTGGCAGTGTTAGATGAAAAGTTTGTGTCTACCATGTCAGCAAATACAAGGAATGCATTCAATATTATACCAATTTCTATTACCTATTTATAACTAATATACTGTATGTATGTAAAAATCTAAATTTTATCAGACAATTTCTGATAAAGGAATCATTACTCTAGGTATGCCTGGAAGAACATGCCAACAATAATTCCAACTATACTTTCTTTATTTAATAGAAAATTCATCATAGAAGATATCTTAATTCTGTAGAGACAGAATGGTCACACATCAGAGGGTCTACGTTTTGGGAATCAGCAGTAGCTAAGGATTTGCCCTGACTTTGACATTGAAAAAATATATTTATTAAGCAGATAACCCACATAACACTAGTAAATCATGATATCAATGCTTTGTAGCAATTTTTACATTAATTCCAAAACTTCATGAAGTATTTTCCAGAACAAAATAAAAAATATGATAGATTTTTTTTTTCTGGTTTACAGCGAGGATTTGGTATGGTAATTTAAACAGCATGATACATTTTTTTATATTATTTATTTTGAGGAAATGTTTTATCTATAATTAATTGTGAAAAAGACGGAAAAAGATGGATCTTTAAAAAGTTTGTACTTTTCAATTTTCTGCTTATACCATAGGGTCTCAAGATAAGAGAATTTAGGCATGAGTCTTATTTATATGTCTTGAAGGGTTGTGCTAAATAATAGCTCATGGTCTCATGTCTGTAATTAATGTTGATATTTTTACTTACATTCTAAATTTATTATACCAGATTATAAAACTTGTGTATTTGTGTTCTAAAATTCTTAACAATATATCACTACCTGTTATCATTACTTTTAGACATGAAAACATCTTTTAGTAAACAAAATCATACTATTTCTTATTCAGCTACCCCAATGACAGTTTTTGTTATCACGTGTCCAGTCTTTTTCTTTTAATTTTTTAAAAAATATATTTCTTTATTGATTTCAGAGAGGAAGGGAGAAGGAGAGAGAGATAGAAACATCAATGATGAGAGAGAATCATTGATCGGCTGCCTCCTGCACACACCTTACTGGGGATTGAACCCGCAACCCAGGCACGTGCCCTTGGCCGGAATCGAACCTGGGACCCTTCAGTCCACAAGCTGACGCTCTATCCACTGAGCCAAGCCGGCCAGGGCAAGTGTCCAGTCTTTTGATTTATAGTTCATACCAGGAAATCTGGAACCCACAGATGCTTGAAATGTGTATGTCCAATAGGAACAGATTAGAAGAATCCTAAACCCGAATTTGTTTTGTGAAAGACCTCAATATATGAGCATTAGAACCTTAGCTAGCAATGCCATTTTGCCTGAACACCAGGTGATTTACTTTTCATAAATTATTTTAAAAAGCAGTTAAATTAATTTTAGTGAGATTTGAAACATACACATAACCTTAAGAATGCAAATATTCCTAACTTCCATTTTTTATTTTGAAATATCTTATTTCTGGAACTTTTCAAAAATATTGAAATAATTCAATGTCAAATTCTATTGATCTTTTTTCTACCAGGTCCCTTTATAGTAAATATAATAGGCATTATTTTCCCTTTTATAGATAAAATGATATCTTAGTTAACAAACTGAGATTGAAACAAGTTACTGGGGAATTCAAGATAAGATCTGGGTTCTTTTAATTTTCAGTTTTAGAAAATTGTGCCATATTTGGTAAAACTAAAATAAAATCTGGACTATTTTATACAAATAAAAAATACAAATTTTGAGTTTTTTAATTTTTTCTTTTATCTACTTAACAGCAAATAACTATTTTTATTGATGTTTAGAGAGAGAGAAAGGGAGAGGGAAAGAGAAAGAAATATTGGTGTGCGAGCAAAACATTAATCAGCTGCCACCTCCACTCCCCTACCAGGGATCGAACCCCTCAACCCAGACCTGTGCCTTGACTGCAAATCAAACCAGCAACCTTTCAATGCCCGGTAGAATGCCCAACCAACTGAGTCACACCAGCCCAGGCAGCAATTAACTATTTTTAACCTTAACTAACCTTTCTTCTCAATATTAAAATTTATCAAAATTGGCCAGTCATTTTATTGTTGGGCGATATAAGGTTATAATTTCTTTTACAAAGCCTTAGTTTTGTTAAAATTGCTCTCAATAAACATGCATCTTGTATTTTTATTTAGTAACCTGAAGGATTGCTTTCATTCCTAATTCCATCATTAATAATGAATCAAACTGTTTTAAGAGGAAGATTTTAAATAATGACTTTTTTCCTGTAATATGACAGTAGCTTTTAAAAAAATTTTAAATCAATGAGCTTTGAGAAATGCTAAAAATATTTCTGACCTAGAGAGGAAAACACAAGTCTTCAAAATTGAATTTAGCTAGTGAATAAAATTCTTTCTTCTAATGCCATGTCAACAGTTCATGCCATTCGAGGCAACACAAGATCAAATAGTATTCATTTATATGCATCTTTTTCGCATTAGCTCATAAGTATTCTGTCTTTCCTTGTGTTTCATAAAAAGTATTAATATGGAAATTAGGGTCAAAACATTGAGATTTTTCAATAATATTGTAACCAATGTATTTTTATAAAATGGTATAAATTATATGTGTTCCTCTACCAGATTATAAAAATTCTTGATCTTCATATTTTTGAATGCCTAACATAAAGGCTCAATTTTAGAACATCATTTTTTTAAAAAAAAAAAACATTAAAGGAACGAGTGGAAACCAAAAAACATTATGTATTTGGAGAAATTCAGGTGGTTTGATATGAGGTTGGTGGGCAGCATAAGTTTGAAAGGTAGGCAAATGCTGATTCATAAAATCTAGTCATTTCTGTTCTGTAAAAAGAGAGACTTTGAAATGAAAGAGAAATAAAGATTGGTTTAAAGGAATGATGATTGAAATCAGAGAGGAATTATGAAGCTGCCAAATAACTCAGAAGAGGGTATATGTTAGATTTTAAACTTAAAGTAGCAGTGAAGATTAAAAAGAAGCAAATAGTTTGAATCACATTAAGAAATTATAAATCATATCACTTTATGGTCAATTTGTGAGATGGTATATATGTTTGGCAGATTGACTGTATATATTGCTGGCATCTCTAGGAATGGCAGCTACAGGACAAATAACTAGTAGGAACCGGAAGCTGAACTTACTTTGGCTGTGTTATTTGCCAGAACAATGAGATAAGAAGGTGAAACTACCTCATGTTCCATTTTTTTAAAAAAGCTTCTGGAATTGAGAAGAAAGGTCTTTCCCAGATAGAGGTGGAAGCCATGGGAGTAGATAGAAGTAGACATGATTGCCCAGGCAGGCTGTGTGCCGGTGGTTAATAAGGGCCAAGACCACTTCTACTGCCTCGAACCCCAATATTTAATGAGCAAAGGAAAGAAGTGCCGGTGCAGGAGGCTCAGAAGAGGTTTCAGAGTTTATGGGGTATCAACAGTGAAGTGACAAGAAAAGGAAGGCAATAATTTCAGAATGAAAAGTCATTGGCAATGTAAATGCCACATGATGGTCAAGTAAAAGGTGTCTCTGGGCTCTAGGAAAATGAGTAGGTGTTGGGGTTGGAGTGCTAACTGCTACCTGTTCTTCCAAGAAATTAGCTCTGAAGTGTGTGAGGGAACTGGAGCAGGTAATTTCTTTGTTGTGGAGATTTGTGCTGTGCATTGTAGGATATTTAGCAGCATCTCTGGTGCTTGCTGAGGACCCTCCAGCCCCACTATGACAACCAAAAATGTCTCCAGACACTCCCAAATTCCCTGGGGCAGGAGGGTAAAGGGACTTGAATTCAGTTAAGAATTAGAGATTTAAGTGCATCTGGCTTGTCAAAAATATATAGATAAGTAGGAAACAAACTTGTTATGACTTTAATTGTGAAATGATTAATTATAAAATTATGATTTTTTTTTACACTCTTTGCTTCACCTTGGTTTTCATTTTTAATTTAAATCTTAGTTTCTGCTGTCTTGGCTGGTTGTATAGAAGTCCCCCTGTTCCTCAAAAAATTAAAAATGGAACTCCCATTTGACCCAATAATCCCACTTTTAGGAATATATCCCAAGAAATCAGAAACACCAATCTGAAAGGATATATGCACCCCTATGTTCATAGCAGCACAATTAACAATAGCTAAGATTTGGAAACAGCCTAAGTGTCCATCAGCAGATGAGTGGATTAAAAAACTGTGGTACATCTACACAATGGAATACTATGCTGCTGTAAAAAAGAATGGACTCTTACCATTTGCAACAGCATGGATGGACCTGGAGAGCTTTATGCTAAATGAAATAAGCCAGTCAGAGAAAGATAAATATCACATGATGTCACTCATTTGTGGAATATAATGAACAACATAAACTGATGAACAAAAATAGATCCAGGGACATAAAAGCATCGAATAGACGGTCCAACCTCAGAGGGAAGGCGATGGGGGGAGGGCGGTAAGAGATCAACCAAAGGACTTATATGCATGCATTGAAGCATAACCCATGGACACAGACAGTAGCGGGGGTAAGGGTATGTGCTGAAGGGTGGGAGTGGCTGGAGAGAGGCCAATGGGGGGAAAAAGGAGACATATGTAATACTTTTAAACAATACGGAATTAAAAAAAAAAAAAAGAAGTCCCCCTTTTCTTTACCATACTGTATTCTCATCTTTGTTTTTCTTTAGTACATACTTCAATTTTGTGTAAGGGAACAAG